CTAAGTTTTATTCTTGGTCTCCTGTTCTGAAGGGAGAATCAATCTCATTGTAGGTTTCTTCTGGATTTTCTGTACCCATATATTTTGTTGTTGCATGGATCATTGTTGGTTTTGAGTCTTCAGTGTTCTTCTCAAAGTTGTTTTGAAGTTTTAATGTGTAGTCTGTTTTATCAAGTTTATTGGAGTCCTGTTTGATTTTAACTGCTTCAAATTTAAAATCTGGTTCTTCTGATTTTATTTCCAAATTGTCTGTAGTTGTGGTAACAACAGCAGTGTCTTATTCCTAGTTTTCTTTCATCTGAAGTTCCATTTTCTGGACAAATGTATCTAGTTTTTCTTGGGATTCATAGCTACTTTTACTGCTGTTATTATAGCTAGAGTTATTGTCTCTTCGACTATGGCCTGTAAATCTGCTAATACTTACAGATTTGATTATGCCCCAGGAACCTTTTCTTTAGTTTCTACAGCAACCATTTTGAAATATTACACACAAAAAGTCTCACTAAAGATTATCAGATGTTTACAGCACAGTGAGTACAAGCAGAGACATTACATTATGTTACCAGATTTTTCTATGTATGTACTTTGCTAGCAAAACATACACAGACACAACACTAGCAGGGTCTACAGCTTGTATTATGGGAAGATGTGGTTATGAAAGTGAAAGGTCTAGACAGTTTTTAAGCCTTCCTTCTTTTTTCTTTTTAAAGCCAAAAGTTGTTTTAAATTGTAATCCAAATAATATTAAATTTTTTTAGTTGTAATCCTTTTTAAAATTTCTCATTTTTCTTATATTGTATCTCCATCAGAAAAAAAGAAAATAAAGTTAAGGGTTTTTTAATTCAAACAAATAGAAAGGAAAACCTTAAAATTTCCAAATAGGACCATATAAAAATCCACCATAAGATCTTGCAGAGTTCAAAAAGAAATATAATAAAAGGTTCTCCAACAGTCAGATGCTTAGATTGTAAACCAAGAGAGAGGAAAAAATGAGATGGAAATTGATCCAAAGGAAAAGAAAATTATAATCCAAAATCGGGACTTGTAAAGCTTAAAAACCTGCAAAACAAACCTCAGACATTCACCGATTTCTCCTCTAGCCCAGCAAGTTAGTAAGTCTCTTTTAAAGTTCTCTTTCAAGCCACTAGAGAAAGAAAGGAAGGGGGGAGCAAGACACTCTTCACCCCTTCATTTTCTTTACAATGTTTAGACTTTAAAGGGCTTAAAAGTTGCGTTGAAGATTCTTTGGCCGAGTTCAGACTGGCAGTTTGCCCCGATATGCGCGTGTTTCAGAAACATTCCACAAGCAGATTAAAGGGGCTGTTCAAACAGGCACATCTGTCCGGTGTTTCCCACCCGTACTCAACCCGTCTTGTAATGCTTTGCTCCTGAGTTTAAAAGATACTTGGTGAAAGTGGTAGCAAACCCTGGAAAGCGTGATCGTCCCGCGTCTATCGCGCACCAACAAAGTGTGAACGCGAAAAGCCACATTTTGCTTATGCACATAAGCGCGTATCTCTAGGTTACAAAAAAAGAAAGCTGTGCCTTACAGCCGTGCCTCCGGGCAAACCGTGTGAACGCTCCCTTTTGCCTCCTCCGGGCATGCTCCTGCATCAGTCGCTGCAGTGCAAATGGGAAAACCTGGAACAGTTTGTTCCGGCTCTTTTTTGCCACGACTCCCTCCCACTTCGAACTGCCAGTCTGAACTCAGCCTTTGGTTTTATTGCAGTTTATAAGTACTCAAGGTGTTCAGAGTCTTCTTTAACTTTTTTATAGAAGGTAAGCTGGTTCCCCCTTGTCCTGGCAGCTACAGCCACTTATCCGTGGCTGCCATGGACGTTCTTGCCTCGGTCTCATATCAGGACGATCCAGGGCAACCACCCGCTTGCTGCCACTTACGGGGTGCCTGGGTCAAGTCTCCCCTGCCTTGGGCTTTTCTCTGGGAAGCCTAAGGGATCCTTCAAGCCCTCAAGCGTTGCTAAAAGACCTGGCAATCCGGCTAATACTTGGGAGCACCTCGGGAGTCGACCGATCACGCCGCGCCGCAACTGGAAGTCAAGATCAATAGTTGTGAAGTTGTTTTAAGATATGTAAAGTAGAAAGTATGTAGAAAGCAGTATAACCATTCCAGAGAATGGTCAGAAAAGCTCGCAAAATGATCACCTGCTTGCTGGTGACCGCGTTACTTTGAGAGAGGCAGACTTCACCCTTGAAATCATTAACAGCAGCAAATGGTTTTTGTCCTTGCTCCTCTGATGTTTCTAAAGACAATATAAACCAGCACTTCTCCCTCTGTGAGTAGTTTCCAGACAACCTCTGAGTTAAATTTCCCCCAAGTATTTTTTGTATAAAATATTAATTAATTGGTACTCTCACACATTTGTAAGAGTGCAATGGTTTCGTTCCAGATTCAACATCAATGGATCATGAGAATCGAAGTGTGGTGACGGAATTCATCCTCATTGGATTTTCCGCTTTCCCAGATCTGCAGGTTCCTCGGTTTGTGGTCTTCTCCGTCATGTACGTTACTATTTTGACAGGAAATGTCATCATTGTCACGACGATAAGGCGTGAGTCCAGCCTACACATCCCCATGTACTTCTTCCTCGCTGTGCTCTCCAGTTCAGAAATCTGCTATACGTTCATCATCGTCCCCAATATGCTTGCAAATCTTCTAAGAGAAAAGGGAACTATTTCATTCATTGGTTGTGGTACTCAGATGTGTCTGTTCTTGGGCTTTGGTTGTACAAACTGCATGCTTCTCGCGGTGATGGGGTATGACCGATATGTGTCGATTTGTAAACCTTTACATTATCCAGTTCTGTCAAAGGAGGCCGTCGCCCGCTCCGCTAGATCGCGGAACGCGTTAATGCGCCATCTTAGCTCGACCGGAAGCCTCTACATTATCCAGTTCTGATGAATCAGGGACTCTGTACTAAACTGGTTCTCTTTTCAGCATCAACGGGTTTCCTTTTTTCTACGATTGAGACAATTATTATATTTACCTTGCCATTCTGTGGGCCAAATAAAATTCATCACTTCTTTTGTGATTTAGCACCTTTACTTGAGTTGGCCTGTGGCCGAAATTATATAGGGGAAATTGTTATTTTTCTTATTTGTTTTCTGGTGGTCTTTTGCTCATTCTTTCTCATCCTTCTGTCGTATCTTTTAATCATAAACACTACCCTGAAAATCCCCACCACAGACGGGAAGCGCAAAGCCTTTTCCACTTGTGCTTCCCATCTCATTGTGGTGGTTGTACACTTTGGATGTGCTTCCATTATTTACCTGAGGCCCCAATCCAGGTACACTTTGAATGAGGACACCTTGATCTCTGTCACGTACACCCTGGTGACTCCATTGCTGAATCCTGTTGTTTACAGCCTGAGGAACAAGGATGTCCAAGTTGCTCTCAAGAAATCTCTGGGTATAGACACATGGGCCCAGAAGATGTGAGAAGTGCTTAAGCGGGATGGAAACAGCATGCTATGAATTGTGCTTTAGGGGTAACAATGAATTTTCATCCTGAAGAAACATCATGAGCCCAATAAATAATGTTTATTATTAGGAGAAATAATTTTTCTAGTTGTAATGTAGTTTCTCCCACAAATCCATCCACCAGTTAATTATTAAAACGTCTTTTCTTAATATCTACCCAGTAAAAAAAAAACCCTTATTTTCTGTTTACTTAAAGCAGGAGAACAAATTGGATTGTGAAACTTCTATCTAATAACTAAGATTGTAACCACAAAGTGCCAAAGACAGAGCTTTTTTAAAAAATCTGTAGAAGACAATTGAAGGGTTTAAGTGATTTTTTTATTGATTATTGCTGATTTTTTATTGATTATTGCTGATTTACCCTTTGGGGAAAATACTTTGGGGCTCTCCTGGAGTTTAAACCACTAAACAGTTTAATAAAGCCAGGTGGTTTAATTCATTTTTAATTGACAAGGGAGCTTCTTTTTACCTGGTAATATTTGAGTTTTAATGAACAAATGTTTTTGCGTCAGCCTTTTTTTAAAATAGGGGGAAAACTGCAGGTGTTTCTGCCCAGGTTAGCTTTGCCAATTTTCAGTTAGGAACTGTCAATTGTTAAGATTTATGAGAGCCTCTCTGCTTGAAAGGCTGAGTCCAGGAGAATGTTTCAGTTTCTGATTTTCAGTAATTTTCAATGAGGAAACATCAAAGAGGCTTCTCTTTCCTCGAGTTTGGGATACTCTAATATATTAATATTGAACTATTAGAGTCTATAAGCAATATCTATCTATCTATCTATCTATCTTTCTATCTAATTGCCTCTTTTAACTTATTTTAAAATAGAGAATATTTTGTTTGCTTAAAAAAAGCTTTACTTAAGTGAACGGAAATACTAATGCCAGTGAAGTAAGTTTTAATTGGAATAACAGAAAGCACCATGATAATTAATTATCAAAGTTAGATGAGTGTTCCATCTCTTACTTCAAAGGAATTGATCAAGATGTTTTTAAAACCGACCTGGCAAGGATCTGCAAGCAAAGTTAAAAGGATGCCAAAATTAATAAGGTTAAATAAAGTTCAATTGTATTTTCTAGGGGAAATAAGCTTAAGTTTTAAGGATGCTTTTATAATTGTGAAAGAGTAAATATCTCTGAATGTTTGTAGCTAAGAATGAAAGCTTATGGACAAAATGTTTTTGTATATTTATTGAAAAAAAGAAAACTAGTTAAGTGTTGAGGAATTGT